TCCATCCAATCCCACCCATATCCTGTATGTAATCATTAATCCCTGTTATATTCTTCCTGTGTTTCTATTTGCACAGATTAACAAACATATGTTTATTTTCTTATTTCCTCTCCTTACTTACATAAAAATTGGCATTTCCTAAATGCTTTTGTGAACTTCATTTTAATTTAAAAATATATCCTGGAAATCACTGCAAATCTGTCCATAGAGATCTTCCTTGTTTAAAATAAAAGAAATGAATATAACAAAACGGAAACAGACACACATACAGAGAACAAACTCATGGTTACCAGAGGGAAGAGGGTTGTGGCGAGGGGCAAAATAGGTGAAAGGGATCAAGAGGTAAAAACTACTAGGTATAAAAAAAGTTATAAGAATGTAATAATGTACAGCACAGGGAATATAGCCAATATTTTATAATAACTTTGTATAGAGTATAATCCATAAAAGTATCAAGTAACTAACTTGTATACCTGAAACTAGTATAATATTGTAAGTTGACTATTCTTCAATTAAAAAAGAAAAGCAGTGTGAGAGGGGCTGCGCCCCATTGTTGCCAGCTTTGAAGATAAAGGGACCATGAGCCAAGGAATGCAACTGGCCTCCAGAAACCTTCAGTTTACATTCAGTAAGAAAACGAGAATCTCAGGCTTACCACTTCAAGAAACAACCTGAATGAACCATGAAGAGGATCCTCCTATAGAGCCTCCAGAGCAGAACACAGCCCTGCCAACATCTTTATTTCAGCCCAGTGAGAGCTGGTTGGGACTTCTAACCTGCAGAACTATAAGATAGTAAATCTGTGTTGTTAAGCTACTAAAATAAATAAATAAATAGATAAGTAAAGGCATGGCATCTCATTGGGTAGCTCTGTCAGTGTATTCAGCCAGTCGTATAGGCATATAGGTTAGTTTCATATTTTGCAGTTACAAATAATGTTACAAGCAAAAGCCAACGTGTGTATTTTCAGTTTGGTGGAGATACGTCTTTGGGGTAAGTTCCTAGAGGTAACAATGTTATGTCATATGGTAAATGCACATGTGTTTTGTTAAAAATTGCCAGGTTTTCTTCCATGAGAGTTATACCAATTTGTATTTCCACTAGCAGCATATGAGAGGGGTCTGTTTCCCCACCACCTCTGCAATAGAATACAGTGTTTTATATTTTGAATTTTGCCAGTAGGTGAGAAATGTTACCTCAGTGTAGTTTTACTATATATTTCTCTTATTATGGGCATAGTGGATACTTTAAAAAAATTTTAAGGACTTTTTAAAGTCAGTTTTTGTGGATTTTGTTTCTATTGTCTTCTCCGTTTTTCCATTGATGAGGAATTGGTTTTCATCATTTTCCCCTAATTTTTTAGATTTATTTACATTTTAAGGATATTAGCCCTTTATCTGTTATATGTATTGCAAATACTTTTTAGCTTTTTGTCAGTTGTCTTTTGATTTTCTTTATGTTGTTTACGTTTCTTTCATGTTGTTTGCCACTTATAGTCAGATGCACTGGTTTCTCTTTTTATTTCCATTTAGCATATAGATTTGGGATCATAGAAAGTCTCACTCTATCTGGTACCAGTTTTGCTGTTCCTGCTTTGTATTTCCATTTGCCTGGAATACCTTTGACTATCCCTTCAGTTTTAGCCTTACTAGTTTTGTTTTTTTTTTTTATTTTATAATTTATTTTTCCCTATTCCATTGTATACATGTTCTGTAGTTTAATTCCCCATCCCTTTTTTGATAGGTCTTTGAGTTGTTTCTTTTCTTTTCTTCTTTTTTTTTTCCTTTGGTTTGTTGTTGTTAAGGAAGTACTGGGGATAGAGCCCAGGACCTCATGCATGCTAAGCATATGCTCTACCACTGAGCTATATATACCCATCCCCTCAACCTTTCTGAATCATTCATCGTTCATTTTCAAATAGATGTATCTCTTAAAAGAGCATTTATTTGGATCTTTGTAAGCCAGGTTGAAAATCTTTCCATTTAATCAGTGAATTAAACCCTTTAATATTTGGTGATATGATGACGATGATTCCTTTCAATTCTGTCAGATTATCTTATGCTGTAATTACTATGTTTGTTAGATTTACTGTGTTTCTCTTCAAAATGTGTTTACTATGTTCCTTTTTTTCAAAAAAGAAATTCCTAAATATAATATTTAAGAAGGTTAGTATTTCTGTTCTAGTGGTTATCTTTGTGCTTATACCCTTTTTAATGCCTTTAGTCCCTTATTTTTTAATTCACCATCTGTATTGTCCATTTTTAATGACATTCCTTAACTTTAACTCTTGCCTAGATCACAGCTAGAGAGTTTATTCTTCTTTCCTCCTTCCACTTGCATTCTCTTCCCATTTTTAGTTGCATTATTTTTACTTCATTCAACCATACATCACATAACACAGAGCATTATTATACAACATATTCATCTACCCTTATCCCCACTTTAGTTTTAGTCTTAGACTTGCAATTACATATATTAAAGCTGAATTGCTGAAGTTTTTCCAGTCATCTTTTGTTTGGATGAAGTTCATTTTCTAGTAGATTCTTCAAAAAAGGACTCATGGAATGAATTATTTGAGCTCTTGATGTTTAAAATTTTTTCTGTGGTTTTCATATTTTAAAATTTTTTCTGTGGTTTTCATAGTTAAAGACCATGGCTGAATCTTGGGATTATGACTTTCTCAGAGATTTTGCCCTTCTTCCTTGTAGCAGCTAAACTCTTCGTTGTGTCCATGCTGAATCTTGTTTGATAGCTTCTCACTCCTTCCCAAGTTAGATCTATCTGGTAGTCTGGGTACCGGATAGATTCTTGACCCTTCCCAATGATACAGAGGTTTTTTGGTTTTTCTTTCCTATTGCCCTTCCCAGGCCACAGTGAGTTTTTATCTGTACCCTGATTAACAGTGTGTTTGATGATCTTACCGTGGCTTAAGGCTTTTTCCTCAATAGGGAGGAAGGATCCTGGTTGGTATCCATGTCCTTCCTGTAGCAGTAGCCTCTCCTCTTTCAGGCCTGCACCATCTAGGGAAGTTTTATCTTACCTTTTTTTGGTCCCCCTTCTTTTTCCTGAGTGCCCAGTATAGGCCCATGGAACTCTCACCCTTTAGAGTTCTTGACATCCCTGAATCTACTATATATTCCTCTAGTACTTTTATAGGTTTATGTTTACCTATAGGCTTTAATCTCTCTGGAATTTACCCATGTGTATTCTGAAGGAGATTGGCAAACTGCTTTCTCATGCCAACTAGTGTACAATGAATCTACATTTCTTAGCATCTCTTGAAATTAGGTTGGGGTCATGTTACTTAAGAATTGCATAGTGAATATTAATGAAAATCATGTAAACCATTTCCATATTTGAGCCATGATTTCCCCTTTTATCCTCTACCTTCTTTTGTCCCTTACCTGGATGTCAATTCCCAGAGAGACATTAGAAGGCCCTTTTTTTAAGATGAAGGAACGACCATCAGGTGGGGAACCTAAATAACTAAAAATCACAGTTATCCACCCACCTTCTCTCCATTTAAGCCAATTGGACTTAACTTACCATCAGACAAATATCTATGTTAAACCGAGGAGACTCTGGGATTTTTTTGAACAGTACAGGTGTCATTATTCTGATGCAGAAATTATTGCTAGAAGAAGGATGCTACTGTAACAAAAATCCAAAACACTTGACATTGGTCCAACAGACAGTCAAGATGGAAATTAATATCCAGGGCTATCCAGAAAATGAGATTTATACATGCAGTGACAAAACAATTTTTTAAACAGTCATTTACAATTACAGGTGGACCACCTCAGCTCTAAGGAAAGAGGCTGGAGAAAGGAATGCTGGTAGTGAGTGTTGATTGTTACTGTCTGCATTTACTAAGGTGACAGAAAAAAAGAAATGGGATGTAGCAATAATTTGTTAGTTTGTAAAAAGAAAAGACCAAAAAGTAAAAGCACGGAAAAGCCAGGATACTAGACCTAAATAATAAGAGATTAATGTTCACTAAGACTTCTAGCTCCAGCACAGACTTGAATAAAGAAAGATGTGGCATTTCCTCCTAAACATGATAGCTTTAAGCCATGTTGGCAAAGAAGGGGAAAAAAATAAGGCAAGCTGAGAATTACATTTAGGAAGGAACTTAGGGGGATGCTATTAGCATCAAAAACCTATTCTGCTTACCTGTAATGCCAAAGAAATTGCAAGCCTTCAGCAGCCTCTGAATGTTCTATCATTAAAAATATTTTGGGGCTCCCAAACTTGCTCAAGGAAGAGATGGGTTGCAAAACTGTAAAGGCCCCCAAGAAAGGCACAATCTTCATCATTTTTTAAAATGCAATAATGGACCGAAAAAAACCTCCAAAAGGGTAAATCCACAGCTATGAAAAACATTGAATAAGTAGTTCCTTCCAGATAGCAAAATTGAAATCAAGAAAATGTCCCATTGCTAGATAAGAGGGACCTCAAAATGCCTGCCAGAAGGGTATCGTAGCAACTGTAGACTAGGGCCTTCTGTGTGCCTCCCATCTTCCCTTTACCAGATGGCAATTTTTATTACAAATCTCCTGTCCATGTTTTACCATGGTAAGTTGGGCCTGTTGGCAGTAGAGAGATTTCCATAACTTGTGTTTTTAGTGCAAATGTCACTGGAACTTAAGTGGCCATATCTAGAACTGATGGAAAGAACCATATATCATTCAGAGATCTTGGACTTTGAGCTGATTGCAATAACTGGATGGAATTTTGGATTGTCTCACTTGGGGAAGGAGGGAGTGTGCTCTGTGTGGTAGGATTCCTGGTAACCAGAAGGATGTACTGTGTTAGAAACTGGCTAAGTGTTCACTTAATCTGTCTTCCTTTTCTTGAGTACCTGGCTAAATTACACTTCTGAGCCTCCTTGAAGTTGGCACATGCTCAACAAGAGAATATGGGTAAAAGTGATTACATGGTTTTCCCTGCCCCACAAAACTTTCCAAGCAATCTTGCACATTTATTTCCTTGTTTTCCAGCTAGATGTTGACATCCTGGGCAACTTTCCAAGACAGATTTTGAAGATGGTGAAGTTTCTATCAGCCAGGGTCCCTGCATGGTTGCATGGAACAGATCCCCCCAACCCTATCCAGCCACCTATTGAACTTCAATGAACAAGAAATAACTAAGTATTTGGTTAAGTCATTGAGATTTAGGGTGTTTATCTGTTGCTGCAGCTAAGGATTATTCTAATACATATATGATGTGTGGTTGGGATCTAAACTAGTTTTTCCAAGATGAATATTGTTCTAATGCTTTTTTGAGTAGTTGGGTCATCCTTTCTCTGTTGATTTGAAATGTCACCATATAATCACAGCAACGTTCCTAGGACTTGCTCTCTTTTCTGCTTATCTGTTTCTCTGGTAAAATGTAATATTTTAAATTAGAATAGCTTTGTATTTTATTTAGACACCCAGTAGCCTTGTTTACTCCTCAGTCTTTATTTTTTTTTTCAGAATTTTCTTGGCAAGTCTGCTTCCATGAGTGGGCCTACATTATAGAATTGTAGAAGAAATGATACGAACAGGAGCAAGTTCAGTAGCCTAAGTATGACATCATTGTGCAGAAATTATGTAGCCTTAAGTTGGATACTGGAATGTTGTTTGTACTTGGAACATGTGTTTCTCTTCAGGGAAAAAGTTGTTTTGAAAGGGACTCATTCTCCATGCTGTTTTCAGGATATAATTAAAAGGATGTTTTTCAGTAAAGACAGCCAAAACTTCGAGGGTCAATGAATGGAGGAGGGTTATTTGTGTTTATTTTTAAACTAAACATGGTATGACTATTCAGTGTTTAGCTTAGCTCTGTTATGGACAGAAGTTCATAGTCTTCACATACACCAACAACAACCAGTTTAAGCTTATGTCTAAAATAGGTGTGGACTAGTTCTGAACTTTTTTTTTCAATCGTAGGCACCACCTGTGATAAAGGAGAGATCTGCAGGCCCTATGAAATTTTTAAAGATTGGTAAGCTCGGTAATTACATTATCAATGTGTAGAATTTTCTTACTTTGGTGCTTGAATTTATATTCTCCACTTTGATATCTGCAGGCCTCCCTCTCTCACTTTTGCAGGTCTCTGTTCAAATGTCAGCTTATTAGGGAGACATCTGATTTCCCTTAGAATACATCAGCTGGTTATTCCTCCCTCTTTATTTGATTTTTCTTCTGTGACATTCACAGAAGTACATAGTAGATACTCAGTTAAATATTTGTTTTTAAAATACATATTTGATAAATATTTGAATAAATATTATTTTGAATAAATATTCATGGATATATACAAGTTTTTTCCGTATATCAATGACTCATATAGTTGAATACCTGCAGCTGCCAGTTTGGAGGCCATTAGAATAATCCAGGTAAGAGAGAAGGTGGCTTGGACCTGGGTGGTAGCAGTGGTTCAGAATTCTATCTTCTTAAGATAATGGTCATTTTACTTGCTCCTAATTTTTGTAACTCTGTTTCTCCTACCTAAGTAGAATGGCTGGTACCGCCAGTACAATATAAAATGGTAATACTGAAAGCAGACACCCTTGTCTGCTCCTGACATTAGTGAGGATGCTTCTAGTGCTTCCACCTAAGCATGAAGTTGACTTTTAGATTTAAACAGATACATTTTATGAAGTTACGATCTATTCCTTTTACCAAGGTGTGTTTTTTACAAATCAAGAATGGATGTTGAGTTTTATCACATGCTTTTTAAGCATTTATGAAAATTACAAAGTGTTCCTCTTTTGCTCTTTAAAGATTTACTGGAATAATCCTGAAAAAAAAATTTCTGCCTGCCTGGTGCATTTTGACAACTTTCTCTTTTTTTTCTTGTATTAATTTATCTGTTTAGATTTTCACCTGAACTTAATTTAAAATTCTCTTAAAAAATAATCGTTTCATCCATTAGGTATATTTTATTTGCAAAGCTAAACAATGTAACCTCTTGATTGTTAGAATTACCTTTACAAGTTTGGAACTTAAATTAACCTCAGTAACTCCTACCAGCCTACCAAAGAATACATAAGCTTCCTAACTCTTTGGTCACTTTTTTATCTTGCATGCATTTGTGTTAGATATTTTAGTCCTGCCTTTTACTTTTATCTCCAAATTAGACATTATCATTACTGCTTTATACAGTTAGTATTTATATAGATTTACTCACATGTTTACCAATTTCTTTTTTCATTCATTTTCTTTGTCTCCAGCCTTCTTTCTGGTATCATTTTCCTGCTTTCCTAAGTACATATTTTTCAGCATTGTGCAGTGGAGATCTGTTAGTGGTAAGCCCTCTTAGTTTTTGTCTGTTAGAATGATGTCTTTATTTTAGTCTCATTCTTAAACATTCTAGTAGTGTAACTAATCTTGGTTAATTTTTTTTCTTCCATTTCTATGAAAATATTTTATTGTTTCCTGATTTTGTTTCTATTGAGAAGTCAGCTGTCAGTCACATTGTCATTCTTTCTAGGCAACTTAGGTGTGTCCGTGATACTTTTATAAATATTAAATATTTGCATTTTTTAATAAAGGCTATCCTTATCATTATAATTGCACACACACACACACTTAATAGTCTATTGCTTTAGAACCTGAGTCAGCAAACACTTTGTTTAACAAGTTAGACAGTAAATACTCTAGGCTTTGCAACCCATGAGATCTCTGGTGGCTACCTGACTCGTGTTATAGCATAAAAATCAGCCATAGATAATATGTGAGCAAATGGATGTGCCTGTATTTTAGTAAACTTTATCTACAAAAACAGGAGGTGTGTTTGATTTAGTCAGTGGTCCGTATTTGTTGACCCTTGCCTTGGACAGTATATTCTGAGTGATGATTAAATTAATATATGCTAGGAATGAGCGGATGGATATATTTATCTGCTTTTGACTCAGCTATAAAAATATAAAGAAGTAGCAAATTTTTCTTTTCTTTTCCTTCCCTTCTCAATGTTTGTTATTTATACCATTTCTACTTTATGCCGATTGATGGAATTTACATTCTATTCTGTCACCCTAATATTTGTTGATCAGGGGACTTGTTGAAGGTCACGCAGCCATAAGTGGTGAGGCTAGGATGTGAGCTTAGATAGCCTGTGTTGTCAACAACTACATCATGCTGACATATTTTTCTGAAGTTTGGATAATCTTGATGCTAAACCTAACAAAGATTATATAATGGGGAGTAGGAGGAGCTGAATCATTTATAAATGTGAATGGGAAAATGTCAAATAATACTGCAAGCTAAATTCTCTGTATTTTTTAATGTTGTCCAGCATTACCATGGTTAGTTAAATTTTAGGAACCGAATTTGTCTAAATACATCAGTCCAGTAAGATCAATTAAAACAATTTTTTTATCCCATAAAAGACCAAGAGATTCATTAACCTACCCATTTCTAAACAAAACACTTAAAAATCTAGGAATAGGATAACTCCTCATTGTGAAAATGGATATCTTAGACTAATAACCAGTATTGCATTAAATGGAGAAATATTGGAAATTAGAAACATAACCAGGATGGCTGTCTTTATTACTGTTATTATATTTTCACTTAACATTGTTCTGAAAGTTGAGGCCAGTGAAGTTAGAAATAAAATGATAGATATAGCTAACTGGAAAGGAAGAAATAAAATTAACATTGGTTCTTCCACTGCCTTATTTTATTTAATTTTTTCATTTTTCAGTTTTATTAGATAGAACTGTTACAGTTTGATTGCACATGTACAATATATTGCATGTAAATACATATATAAAACATACTGCACATATTTTTAAATTTACGTATATGTACTGTTCATTGTTTCT